CCTTATGTGGTTTAGTGAATTGGAGCAATCTAGACCCGAATTGGTAGATTCATATGAGATCTTGAGTGATATCCTAGTGACGGCCTTAGAAAAGGATGCTACTAGGGTTGACTTGGAAGAATTTTTGGGATGAAGGTACCGGTATGTGGTAATTTCATATGAGAGTAAGCGTTATGTTGATTTCCGGTACTACCTTATCTTGTATGATGCCTTATGAGGCTATGAGGCTTAGAGTTCTCCGGATGAGTTAATAGAACCTTTTTCGGATTTTACCCCGGTTAGTGGTTTAAAGTTAGAAAAAAAAAGGAGTTTGTGAAGAATATCTCTTACCTTGTTCCCCTAGGAATACTCTTGTTGACTTAGTGAAACTTGGCATGTTAAGCCTTGATGTGACTCTTAGTATGGATGGGTTGCATACTTGGTGTGTTTTTATTGATGATAGGGCTCGGATGGTTAGAAGAATATGGGGCCCTTGAGTGTGTACTAGTTATCACCTTGTTGAGTAGGATGACATTTGGGTACAATTTCTTCCTATTATGGATTTGGTGTTTGATTGTGTCATATAAGGGTGGTATGGCTAGATGTTGAGGACCATAGACTTTTGCAAAAATGGCAAAATGTGAGTTTGGTTATGTCTTTAGGAGTGCTTGGAAAAAGTTTTCTTGAGGGTTGTAGTGAGGGCTTCCTCCTAAGGAGGGGATGGTGTGCTTAAAAAGCATGATTTGTTGAAATCCCAACATCCTCATCTCTTTCTTCCATTCCTATTCTAGCTTGAGACCAAGAGTTCCTAGATGGGCCTATGTTATGTTTTAGAAGTCATATGTGATTTTTATATTCTGATGATTTCCTTATGAAAGGTATGTTTTTGAGAATTCATGTTTTGAGATAAAAATGAGTTTTCATGTTTCATGCCCCTCATGTTGATAGGCAATTAGAGTAAGTAACCTATGTGATTCATGAGGTGAATGGTTTAAATGTGCTTTTAAGAAGTAATTGCATAATTGGCCGAAGATCATATGATAAGCATGATTTGAGTTGAAGGAGGAAATTCCTCCAATGAAACGGAATATGTCTAAGTTGCATGCATATTGAGTTCGTAGAAGTAGTCCTATTCTCTCATGTTGTATGATGTGTGTTTTAAATGGAGATTTTTTTTCTCCTAAGTTGTGCATTGTGTGTAATATGGCATACTTGACTTGATGATGTGAATTAAATGAACATGCTTGAATGTGTTCTTATGAAATGGAATGTTAGCTCCTTATGTGGTGGAAACTTTCCTAAAGAGTAGAGGAGGTAGTTCCTCCCATGTTTATGTGAATTAATGAGGTTTGCGCATTTCCATAAAAACTTGTGTTTTTGAAGAAAGATGAGTTGTTTCCCTCATGTTGTAGTGCATTGGTTATAAGTGATCTATTGTACTTCATGAAAATAAGGTATGAGCATGTCTTAGTAAGGAGTTGAGAAGTTCCTCCTTGAAAGAGTGCTATTGAACATGGAAACTTGCATATGTGCTTAATGCTGTATGGACTATGTAATGACTAGGAGAAGGTAGTTCCTCCTATGAACATGAGAAATGTTGATGTTGGTGTGTTATGACTAGGAGAAGGTAGTTTCTCCTTGAACATCACTAAACATGATAATGTCATTGCATACATTCATGTTTAAGTTGACAATTGGTTCATTGTGGTTTTACAATTATGTTGAGGTTTTTGAAATAAGGTGTAAGTGCATTGTTGCATCCTTATGTGGGCTGAAATTTCCATGTTTGTGTCTCTCATGTATGTTTCTTTAACATTCGGGGACGAATGTTCCCAAGGGGGAGATATTGAAACGACCCCAAAAATGCCCGAAAATGTGCTTCGGAAACACCTATAATTGTAATTTCCATATATCTCAAAATCCGTGCATGATTTCGGAAATCCGACTTCATATTCTTGTTTAGGGGGTCAAATTGAGTGGGAAATGAGTCTAACCCGAATTTTAGAACAACCGTATCAAAATTCGAAAATCGCAAAAAATGCGATTTTGAGGGTCAACTTTAAAGGGGCATATCTCTCAGCACACAAGGAACTGGAAGGAGCTCAAACTATCAAAATTAAAGCTTTGTGAGTTAGCTTTCCAACGCAATTTGTTTCGCCTCATTCCGAGTTAGGATGAAGGAGTTATAACCATTTTCGTAAAACCTCGCCGGCAGAAAAGTGCCATTTCCAGTAAGCCGAAACACTGTTCACCCGCCCCATTAATTTTTCTAAGTGTTGGACAATTTTTTTTCCAAAAGGGCATATGATATTCCCTATATATCATTAGTTCATTCCAAGTCTCTAAAACATTTCTCAAACATCCAAAAAACTCTCTCTAAACCCTCTCCAAAATTCCACCAAGATCATCAACCAAATTCAAGGATCCCAAGCTTTAATTCCGGATTCAAGATTCAATCTCAAGCAATTCTCCATTCCAATCTTCATCAAGAATTCTCCAAAGTTGAGGTATGTGGGTTGATTGTGGAAACCTTCCTTTCCACAAGTCCAACCATTTATCCTCTATTTTACTTCAAGTTTATGGGTCCTTATGATCATTTATGAACTCTTGAATTATGGAATTATTACTACACATCCTATTATGGTCTATTTTTGTATATTATCATGAAATGGAATGATTATATGATGTTTATGGTTTTCATGCCCCCATGATCAAATTATGAAGGTTGTTATATATGTATATATATATGTATGTTGTTGGTGGGCTGTTTTATATGGATTTTGAAATTGGTTGAACTTAGTACTCTTGAAACACATGATTTTATTTACATGAACAAGTAGCCCACCATATGTTTGATAAAATGCCATTTATAGAATTCTTATGAAATGGAAGGTCCAATGTACGTCCTATGAGTCGGATGATTATATAAGTATTGAAATGATGATGAAATGGATACATGTATATGATTTTCTCTATATAGTGTGTGAGTCGACCAAGCCTAGCTCGGGGGGTTGTAGGCCCGGGTAACCGTATCAAGGGGTTGGTACCTTGGTTGCCTAGTACGGGGGGTAGTAGGCCCGTATAACCGTATCGAGGGGTTTGTACCTTGGTTGCCTAGTACGGGGGGTAGTAGGCCCGTATAACCATATCGAGGGGTTGGTACCTTGGTCCCTAGCTCGGGGGGTGGTAGGCCCGGGTAACCACATTGAGGGGTTTGTACCTCTTTCGCCTCTCCAAGGGGGTGGTAGGCCTTGGAAATACTATATTGATGGTCACTCACCACACATGTACTACGTCCCACTAAATATGATTTTTATGTAAGCGTCATTATATACATCATTTCATTTATGTGCTATCTATCGGGTATGATTATGCATTTTTCCTATGATGTCCATCTATTGTAGCATTGCATTGCATCCCACATACTTAGTACATTCAAACGTACTAACGCATACTCTATGCCTACATGATGTCACCATGTAGGGACCGGAGCACCGCTTGACCATCCTCCTCCGCGTGGCTAATACGATTTCCTATCAAGGTTATTGGTGAGTCCTCCATTCCGGGGACGTTGCTCATGATCTTTTGCTATGTATAAGACTTTTCTTTTTAGTTATGTTTTGACTATGAGGGTGAGCCCGGTAGTTTGTCTTGGCCCCCGCTAAGTACTCATGTTTAGAGGTGGTGTTGGACAAGTTGTGTATTATGCTTGAGCTTGACTCATCTATGGTATTTATGTACCATTTCTTCTTTTTTTCTCTTGCTCCCTTAGTCCCGATTTCCCCCTTTGATTATGCTTATTGCTTATGGTCATTTTAATTGCTTCCGCGACCAAGGATGTGTAATGATACGCTATGAGGCTTGTTTGGGGTTCCTTCGGGTTCCCCATTCGCCGGTCACGTCTAGGCCCTAGGCTTGGGTCGTGACACAATGTAAATCAAACCTAATGAAAATGAGTATGAATGGACAATTGCATGCCATGAACCTAATACTTGATTGTATGATTAGGAGTAATGTTCATTATGAGTGTGACTGTGATTGTGGTTGTGCTGATTGGATTGGGTGTCACGTTCCGACACATATATTGGATCGGGTGTCACGTTCTGATATATATATATTGGATCGGGTGTCACGTTTCGACAAACTAACAGTTTGGGTGTTGGTTCCATAAGAAGACCATTGTGATTATTGCATCCATGTGTATTGACGTTGATATCGGGAATTGTATGTTGCTCTTGAATTGATAATTGAATTATGTATTCTGTATGTGTCGTGTTTACTATGTTGTGATTGCTTGCCTATGTTTCGCTTACTGGAATAGCCGCTTGGTCCTACCAATACACTGTGGTTGTGTACTGATACTGCACTTACTCGTTCTTTGTTGACTACAGGGCATCTTCAGGTGGCTACATATAGATCTAAGCTAGGAGATCAGTGATCGGGACCGGATTCTAGGGTGAGCCAATTATTTCAGGCTGTCATGGCTCCTTCAATTTTGTTGAGTCCATTCCTTTAGGACTCACACTGTTCTAGTAGTTTTGCTTATGTTAATTTCGGGTTGTACCCCTTTCTTAGACTTGTTCATTTTAGTAATTTTGGTATAATGACTTTCAGGTTCTAGGGGTTGTTTTCCGCAATAGTTTGATAGTTGTTTTGGTTAAACTTCGAAGTTTATGGGAACTCCATATTTTTTTAGACATTTAAACCTGCTTCCGTATCTTTAAATGTTCTAGTTTTCGTTATTTTGTTTAGTTGGGTTGTAGTAATGGTTCTCCTACCGGAGGGTTAGTGCGGGTGCCAATCACAATGGTCTGGGTCGTGACAAAGTTAGTATTATAGCCCTAGGTTCATTGATCTTGTTGTATCAAAATAAGTCTAGTAGAGTCTTGTGGATTGGTACGGAGACGTCTGCACTTTTCTTCGAGAGGCTACAGGACTTTAACAAATCTCTTTGTTCTACTCCTTTCGTGCTATGACTTGATTCAATTGGTATCTAATCTTCTTCCCTCTTCTGTCCGCAGATGGTTAACACGTGTTTCAATGACGTCTGGCCTGTAGCTCCCGTTAATGAGCCAACCGAGGATTCCGCAACAAGAGGCCGCGGTAGGGGAAGATCAAGGGGCAGTGGCCGAGGAATGGTAGCACCCGCTAGGGGTTGAGCTCCAGTTAAGAATGCTCTCAGAGATGAGGCCCCTCATGTACATCACGAAGAGGTAGAAGAGAATGTGGAGATCTAGGACGAGGAAGAGGTTGGACCAGAGGGGGATGCACAGGCAGAGGCTATAGGTATTCCTCTCTTAGACCCAGTGTTAGCTCAACAAATTATGACTTTTCTGAAGGGATTGGTTGGTCTTGGAGTTCTTCCCACAGTGCAAGCGACTCAATCTCTCGTCAACCCCCCATTGTGGTTGCGGTTCCCAAGGTGGGTGGAGCAGTAGGCATTGATGCCTTTTTTCGTCCCCTATTGGGTCTTGTGATGACTAGTAATGAGAAGGAGATGCTGGCTAAGTTTCTGAAGCTAAAGTCGCCTGTGTTCTATGGTTCTGAGAGTGAGGACGCCTATGACTTTAATTTGGATTGCCATGAGAGGCTTCACAAGTTGGGTATTGTACACTAGTATGGGATAAAGTTCGTGACCTTCCAGCTTTAGGGTGAGGCTAAGCAATGGTGGAGGACCTATGTGGAATACAGATCGTTAGTTTTACCCCCACTCACTTGGATACAGTTTCATGCTTTGTTTCTAGAAAAGTATGTGCCTTGGACTTTGAGAGATCATAAAAAGGATGAGTTCATTGCTTTGGAGCAGGGTGGTATGTGATATGCTCAAATTACACCTCTTTTCAGAAGCATAAGCGATCGTTATCACGTAAAGAACCCAACTTGTAGGTTGGGGTCGATCCCACGAGGAATATGGTTTAGACTTAAGTTCAATAACAATTATATTCGTTTAGCCAATGTATTTCTAAGACAAATAAGTAAAATGGGGGAGGGGCGGGGGGGTTGTGTAACAAATTTTGGAAATTATGAAAGTAATTAATAAGCAGGATTCAAGCTTTTGTTGTTATCAAATTAAGAAGGAAACTAGGGCGTACGTGTTCCCCATAAGCTCAGAACTCCATAATCCTAGTAATAGCAATCCCTTCCTAATGTATTACATGCAAAACGATAAGTTATGTATCTCTAAATCCTTGGTCCGGCATCTAGAAAATTTCACCCCGCACCTTGATCCGGCTACGTGTGTATAATTTACTAACCCTTACCATTACCTCATATTAGACGTCACATCGATGTATGGCTTAGTTTTCACCCTTGCACCAATCGAAATTAATTCTATTAGATAGTATCACACTAAATCTATGTTGATAATTCTTTTCTTATTAATTACCTCTTTGGTCCAACAAGTAGCAACAAGGCGAGTTGTAACGTTGCGCACCGTTAAAAAGACTTCTAGATGAAAGAATTATCAATGCATGCAAAACACTATTTGGGAATTACTTAGTTACTATTCATACTTTGTTAATCGCTCATAGTTCCCACAACCCTAGTTGTGGAATTAGTTACCCATATTAGCAAGAAAACAATTCATAATGTTTGAAGAATAAATCATGAACTTACGTAGTAGAGTAGAATAATCCTAGAATTTCAAAGTAAAAATCACCAAAACGTGCTTAGAAGTTAAGAATTGCTAAAGTTGCAAGTTAATCTCCAAAGCCAAAAACTAGAATAAAAAAATAAAATCTAACCGCCAAAAACGAGGTTTACATACCCTATTTATAGAAAACAAGTCCTAAATTAAAAGGGAAACAAAATAAGGAAAGTTTGTTCAGGCGCGTGCCTTCATTCCACGAGACTGACTCACGGACCGTCAATTGATCTACGGTTCGTGAGTCCCTTCCGTCAGCCAGGACTTAGAAAATATTTCAGCTTCAAAAAATTAGCTTCTCTGAAGCAACCAATGGAACACCAGTACGGACCGTAGATCGATCTACGGTTTGTCGATCCCCTCTCCGTAGCTCCATACTTAGAATTCTCCAAAAATCAGGTACTGGAACCCTCGCAGTCACATTCTACGGTTCAACAGTACGGTACGTAGATTAATCTACAGACCGTCAATGGTCACCGTGGTTCCACACTTGGTCAGATTACCTGATTCTCCTTCCATGCCTTGCCCTGCTAATCTATGATCACCATCTACGGAGCGTCAATGGACCTACGGTCCATAGATCAACTCCTTAGATGCCCTTTTCTGCATTTCTTTCAGCTGTCTCTTTAATTCCGCGCCTAACCATCTTTCCTGCAAAACATGATAAAAACACATAAAAACCAATACAAAAAAGCCCTAAACACACACAACTCTTAAGTGAAATGTATTAAAAATACCGTAAACTCACGGTATATCAGTATGACTGTAGCTGCTAATGAGGCTAAGTTCCATGCCTTGTCTAGATATTCTACACAAATAAATGGTTATGCAGGTAGAGGAGCAACGCAGCCAGGCAAGGAGGTCGTCCACCAAGATGACAGGGCTCAGTTTTATGCCTTTTCGAGCAAGACCGAGGCAGAGACATCTGATGTAATTATCACATGTACTATTCTTATCTGTGACCGGTTGGCTAATGTGTTGTTTGATCCGATTTCTACTTTTTCATACGTGTCATTTTAGTTTGCCTTGGGATTTGATACGGTTTGTGATGTACTTGATGCCCCCATTCATGTTTCTACCCTGTTGAGAGTCTGTCATAGTCACCCATGTATATTGTGCTTGTCCTGTTATGTTTATGGGTTTCCAAACCTGGTCTGATTTGGTTATTTTGGATATGACTAACTTTGATATAATCTTAGGCATGACTTGGTTGTCCCCCTATTATGTTGTGCTTAATTCTAACACTAAGTCCGTGACTCTAGAGATCCCGGGTAGGGAAAAGTTAGAGTGGGAAGAGGTGTACAAGCCTAAGCCAGCTAAGGTCATATCTTCCATTCGGGCTAGGAAACTGGTGGGGCTGGAGTGTTTGGCATATTTGGCTCATATTCGGAATGTTGAGGCCGAGTCTCCCTCTATTGAGTATATTCCTGTAGTGTCTGAATTTGTTGAAGTGTTTCCTACCGATTTGTCTGGTATGCCTCCGAAGAGAGATATAGATTTCTGCATTGACTTGGAACCTGGTACTCGTCCTATCTCCATTCATTCTTATCGCCTGGCTTTAGCGGAGTTGAGAGAGCTTAAAGCTCAAATTCAGGAGCTTTTTTATAAAGGTTTCATCCATCCTAGTGCTTCCCCGTGGGGTGCTCCTATCTTATTTGTTAAGAAAAAGATGGTAGTATGAGGATATGCATAGACTATCGACAGTTGAATAGGGTCACCATTCGGAATAAGTATTCACTGCCTCATAGTGATCTTTTTGGCTAGTTGTAGGGTGCATCAATTTTCTCTAAGATTGATCTAAGGTCAGGTTACCATCAGTTAAAGATTAGGCCTATGAATGTACCAAAAATGGCATTCAGGACCCGTTATGGGCACTAAGAGTTTCTAGTGATGTCGTTTGGGTTGACAAATGCGCCTGCAACTTTCATGAGTTTGATTAATGGTGTGTTCAAACCATTTTTGGATTCGTTTGTGATTGTTTTTATTGATGACATCTTGGTTTATTTAAAAAGTATGGAAGATCATGCCGACTATCTTCGTATTGTTCTGGGTGTTCTTGGGAGGCATAAGTTGTATGCTAAATTTTCTAAGTGTGAGTTTTGGTTGACTTCGGTTACCTTTTTGGGGCATGTGATTTCAAAGGAACGGGTAATGGTAGATTCCCAAAAGATTGAAGCAGTCAAGAATTGGGCCCAACCTAGCTCTATAACTGAAATTAGGAGTTTTGTGGGGCTTGCCAGCAGCTACTATCGTAGGTTTGTGAAGAATTTTGCTTCTATCGCCACACATTTGACGAGGTTGAACGAAAAGGAAGTACCTTTGAAGTGGACTGACAAATGTGAAGAGAGCTTTCAAAATGTCAAAGACTCTTCTGACCACAATACATATTTTGGCACTACTGGCGAAAGGTAAAGATTTCATTGTTTATTGTGATGCTTCACATTCAGGTTTGGGTGTTGTGTTGATGTAGGATAAGAATGTCATAGAGTATGCATCACGACAGTTGAAAGTGCATGAGTGAAATTACCCGACGCATGATTTGGAGTTGGCAGTGGTAGTGTTTGCCCTCAAGATCTGGCGACATTACTATGATGTCAAGTATGAGGTATTTATTGACCACCGTAGCCTACAACATGTATTCACTCAGAAGGACCTGAATATGAGATAGCCAAGGTGGATGGAGTTACTCAAAGACTATCATATTACCATCCAATATCATCCGGGTAAGGCCAACGTGGTCGCAGATGGATTAAGCCGAAAGGTGGTGAGTATGGGTAGTCTAGCTTGCTTGGGTGTATCCAAGCGACCTTTGACCAAGGAAATACAAACATTGGAGTCTAAGTTCATGTAGTTGGGCATTTCAAAAAAAGGTGGGGTGTTAGCTAGCATTGAGGTTAGGGCCACATTCATTGAGGAGATCAAGGCCAAACAGTTTGAGGATGAAAGTTTTAATGAGCTCAGAAAGAAGACAGTGTATGGCAAGGCACAAGATGCGACTCTTGATGCGGGGGGTGTGCTCTGCTTTAAAGGAAGAATTTGTGTTCCCTAAGTGGATGACTTGATTTAGAAAATGTTGATAAAATCCCATGGTTCGCAGTATTCCATTCATCCGGGTGTGACCAAGATGTACCGAGATTTGAAATGAATTTATTGGTGGTCTGGCTTGAAGAAAGACATAGTTGAGTTTGTGGCTAAGTGCCAAAACTGTCAACAAGTAAAATATGAGCATCAAAGGCCTGCATGTTTGCTTCAGTGAATGCCAATTCTGGAATGGAAGTGGGAAATGATAGCTATAGATTTCGTGATTGGTCTCCCCAAGACCTTGGGAAAGTTTGATTATATTTGGGTGGTGCTTGACAGACTGACTAAGTCAGCCCACTTCATTCCAGTCAGAGTAGACTATAATATGCAGCAGTTGGCTAAGGTGTATGTGAAGGAGATAGTGAGGTTGCACGGAGTTCCCCTTTCTATCATTTCGGGTTGTGGTACACAGTTCACATCCAAGTTTTGGGGAAAATTGCATAAGGAGTTAGACACTCAATTCACTTTTAGCATAACCTTCCATCCGCAAAGAGACGGGCAGTCAGAGAGGGCTATTCAAGCGTTAGAAAACATGTTGAGGGCATGTGTGATTGACTTTGGAGGATATTGGGATAAGTTCCTACCTTTGTGTCAGTTCTCCTATAATAACAGTTACCACTCCCACATTGATATGGCACCGTTCGAGGCACTTTTTGGGAGAGGATGTAGATCACCCATAGGATGGTTTGAGGTTGGAGATGTTAAACCTTTGGGGGTTGATTTGGTAAAGGATGCTCAGGATAAGGTAAGAAGCATCCAAGCTAAGCTTATAGAATCCAGAGTCGACAAGAGAAGTATGCAGATCGTAAGGTAAGAGACATGGCATTTCAGGCCAGTGAGCAAGTTCTTCTTCTAGTGTCACCTATAAAAGGGGTGAGGAGATTCCGCAAGAAGAGCAAGCTTAGTCCTCGATACATTAGACCATTTGAGATTCTTCACTGTGTAGGGCCATTGGCTTATAGGTTGGCCTTACCTCGTAGCTTATCTGGAGTTCATCTAGTGTTTCATGTGTCCATGTTGAAGAAGTATCATGGGGACAGTGATTACATAATAAAATGGGACTCAGTTTTGTTAGATAAAGACATTCAGTATGAAGAGGAACCAGTAGCAATCCTTGATCGTGATATCTGAAAGCTGAGGAACAAGGAGATAAAGTCCGTGAAAGTTCAATGGAAGCATCATCCGATTGAGGAAGTGACTTGGGAAACCAAGAAGGACATATGAGACAAGTATCCCAATTGTTCAACGATTCAGGTACTACTCTACCCTTACTTTAGCCAGTTTTTCCTAGTTTATCACTCGAGGAGGAACAATGGGTAAATTGGTATCTATTGTAACGACCGGTTCCCATCGTTGTTGAAAAGCCAATGGGGAAAAAAATTGGGCCAGAAAAACTTTTGGGTAGTAACTTGGGAATTCCTAGCCTAGTCTAGATTCGGAAGAAATTTGAGTCAGGTGAGGTGTAGGGAAATCTGGTTATGAATAAGAGATTTAATTACAAATTTGATTACATGAGTAGATAAACAAGAAGTTAAGGAGCCCGTACGGCTTACAAAATCAAATTGGGGAGAGTAGAACTCTCGAAACTGATCTTAGCGTGAAAGGGTAGTTTTTGAACGTCTAGGGTTGAAGGTGTGTTGTGAAATGGGGGCTTGGAACCCAAATTCTGAGCTTCTGTCTCCATCAATCTGCCAGAGTGATCCCGCAGAGCGGGGCCGCTGTGGCGGGATGGGGTCCGCTGTAGCAGGCCAGTTGCGACTTAAATCGGGTAAAAACCCCAAAAATGTTATTTTCTGCAAAAGTTCATTCTTGAGAGCTAAGAGATGACTCAGGATAAGTTCTTGACAGTTTTCCACCTCTTCTAGCGCTAAAGGTAAGGTTTTTACTCCCCTAATCCATTTTTTTCGATCTGTAGAACATAGATTCTTGGGCAATTATCATTAGGGGATGGTTTTGATATGAAATTAATGGTGGGAAAAGCCCTAATTAAACATTAAGATCTTGGGTTTAGCCATGGATAGATAGATAGATTTATCTCGGTAAATTAGGACTCATTTATTGATCATTGCGTTAATTGTTTGTTTTTAGACCACAAACAAGCGGAAAGAATCTGGAAAGGGAAGGCTCAAGTGTCTTAGGAGGATTCAAGCTTGGTTTCGAGGTAGGTGATTGTTTGATTTCCTGTTTGTGTGATATATGTCGGTAATTGCTTCAATGTATGAATGCATGTATGTGAATGCGGAGATGTAGATCAAACCTAATGAAAGTGAGTATGAATGAACAATTGTATGCCATGAACCTAATACTTGATTGTATGATTATGAGTAATGTTCATTATGGGTGTGATTGTGATTGTGGTTATGCTGATTGGATCGGGTGTCACGTTCGACACATTTATTGGATCGGTGTCGTGTTTCGACACATATATTGGATCGGGTGTCATGTTCCGACACATATATTGGATCGGGTGTCACGTTTCGACACATATATTGGATCGGGTGTCACGTTTCGACACATATATTGGATCGGGTGTCACGTTCCAACACATATATTGAATCAGGTGTCACGTTCCAACACATTAACAGTTTGGGTTTGGGTGCCATGAGGATACCATTGTGATTATGACATCCATGTGTATTGTCGTTGATATTGGGAATTGTATGTTGCTCTTGAATTGATAACTGAATTATGTATTATGTATGTGTCGTGTTTACTATGTTGTGATTTATTGCCTATGTTTCGCGTACTGGAATAGTTGTGTGATCCTACCAGTACATTGTGGTTGTGTACTGATACTGCACTTGCTCGTTCTTTGTCGAGTACAGGGCATCTTCAGGCGGCTACAGATAGACCTCAGCTAGGAAATCAGTGATCGAGACCGAATTCAAGGGTGAGCCAGTTCTTTCAGGTTGCCATGGGTCCTTCAATTTTGTTTAGTCCATTCCTTTCGGACTTAGACTGTTCTAGTACTTTTGCTTATGTTAGTTTCGGGTTGTACCCCTTTCTTAGACTTGTTCATTTTAGTAGTTTTGGTACAATGACTTTCAGGTTCTAGGGTTTCTTTTCCGCAATAGTTTTGATAGGTGTTTTGGTTAAACTTCAGAGTTTATGGGATATTTCTTTAGACATTTAAATGTGCTTCTGTATCTTTAAATGTTCTAGTTTTCATTACTTTGTTTAGTTGGGTTGTAGTAATTGTTCTCCCACCGGAGGGTTAGTGTGAGTGTCAATCACGACGGTCTGGGTCATGACAAAACTTAAAATATAATGACGACAATCATTATTTAAGAAAAAGAGATGTAAAAAAAGTGATAATAGTAATTTCGATAATAAACCATAAATTTTAGTAATAATTATAGAAATATAACAACAATGATAATAATAGTAATGACAAATAGTTGTAGTAGTAAAACTAGTTGTGAAAAGAAGATAATTTGATAGGTTATTACTTTAGAAGCTCGAAAATAATGGATTTAGAAGAAAAGAATGTCAAAATTGGGTGTCCACAGATACCATTTTGAAGTTGTGGCTAAAATTTAAGATTATTCTATAAAGATTTGAGCTATATTTGATAGTTTTTTGACCAATTTCATATGAAGTTATGTGGGTTGGAGTTCGTAGAAGATGAAGTTCAGTTTTTGTATGTATTATATAATTTTATATAATGGTGTAAAAGATATGTAGATATCTTCTATACAATATTATAAATGTTTATAAAAATTGATACATTATTTACAATATTATAAATGTCGTTTGGTAGCTAATAATGAGGCAACTTATTTGTATATTAATTTTTGTATTAGTTATAAATATTTATGGTAGCTCTTTTATAAATTCTCATAAGCAAAGTTATGCGTGTAGAACCACTAGTATACTTCAACTATCATAAACAATACCAAATCTTCTATAACTGAAATGACCAAGTCTGCCCAAGGATGCTACCCTACCAAGAGGACAATCGCAAGATTAGTACATCTGATTCACCACTAGGGATTCACCCATAGATGTGGAAACACGCGTGGGCGTATGTTGTGAATCATAATCCAAACCATGTCCAAAACGAAGTAGGTGGTCATATAAGAATGTACGGAAACAAGGTCCAATAACACAAGATACTCCTACCATAGTTCCCATATCAAACATTTTCATTCATCTGACTCCATCTCTTTAATTTTTAGTTATCCACAATCAACCAGTTTGATCCCATTTAAAATCATACACATATTCAATTTATCAATACCCACATACTTCTCATAGTCCTCTACTAAAACCAGCACTCTTAATACTAACATAATAGCATAACCACATTGACCATTTACCTTGCTCTCAAATCGTCACTAGTATCAAAGTTTTTTAGCAAACACATTGTTGCCTCCAAAAATTTCAAACAATGGCTCCCTCTCTTTCCATGAAAGCATTCCATGATAGATATGGATCCCACCCAAGGTTGATAAAACACATTTCAAATCTGCTAGTACCTTTCCGTCGAAATAAAGTTATTGAATTGTCCAAAGTCTACTCCACACAATTTTCCACATCAAGTTTCAAATATCATTCACACGGTCATACATATCATGTCAAAACTTAGAGAAATTCTTGGCCACCTCAATAATTATGTATACTATGAATACATATCTCTATTTACCATCAAGTTTCTATGTAATGAATCATAACAACCTGTGTAGTCCCATCAATAGAGTAGTTTCAACCCCCTTAAAATTCTAAATAACTATGTAGAACTGTAGGTCCATACTATTGCACATCCATAATACACCTATCATAATTTGAATAATCTAGCCTCACATAACAACACAAAATCTTCCACACATCATTGTTTGTCATCCAAACCAAAACTCAATCTTCAGAAAAGTCGTTGACAAACCCCTAGTAAGTTTGTGCTGAACTAGTTCACATATCATAAACATATCTGAACTCAAAGGTGAAAATCCATACAACCTTCAACTCCAAACCAAATGTCTAGATATGAGAGGTCTTATTCATTTACCCTTCTTAAATTCTTCCCATGACGCAAACTCCATTACCTTCAAATCTTCAATATACTAGATACTTGTTTTTTTTTGCTAACTCGCTTATCAAGCTTGTTATTCACCAAGAACCCATGATATTTTACCTCATTTTTTAAACCAAAACATTAAATGGAACCCTCTCTTAAGTCCTTTAACAATCAAAAGTAATTGAATTTATGACCTAAAGCATGCACAAGTCCTTCCAAATACTTAATACCCAATGTGATCGACCATTTCTTATCTTACCAATCCATACCTTAACAAAACATACTACCACGAATGAAGAATCGCAATGAAAAACTTGAAATTTGAGTTCAAACCGTGTAGCCCAATCCTATTTATATCAACATTAGCTCATACATTGAAGATCTTTATGAATTCACTTATCTTAGTTTATCATTGATTGCCTCCCCATCCACATTACTGCACCCTTCGTTAAATATTCAATTGTACAAGTTACCAAACTGGAAATCATAAAAGAACTTATCACCACACTCGAGTCAAACGTATGTAGACTTCTTTCTCAAATCTTACCCAATAGTTTTTAACCAATATAATGAATACGTAACACTACTACCATAACCATAGAGAAACAGATGGAACCACATGTCTCTGAACCCGATTCTCAACCCTCTAAAGATACATCTTTGTTCCTTGCAATTAGAGTAAACACCCTTGCTCTTGCCTTCTTCTGAAGGCTACACTACATCCAAATAATTCTTCCATTATGACTCTAGCTCCTTTCAATTCTATTTAAGCGGTGTCTCAGCATCTCCTACAGCTTTTCATATGACCTTACTCATCAAATAGTAGCAAACCACAACCTTACATACTCACAAGTCATCATTACCAAACATAATATGTCTAACCAACAATCCTGATCATATATTTGCATCCCAATCACAATCCATCACGAACTCGTGTTACCATCGTGCTCAGTAGCCCTTGCCATCGCCATGAAGTCAACCTTATCATTGACATGACACCTCAAACCCAACAATACCAATCCAATCCATAGGACTAATCCAATTTATATGCACTTTCTTACTAAAATCCTCAATTGCCTAACCACCAATCCCAGAATCCTCGCAGTACATTTCATAA